GCACACCCTGTATTATAGTATTATTATTGCACACCCTGTATTATAGTATTATTATTGCACACCCTGTATTATATTATTATTCTTATTGCACACCCTGTATTATATTATTATTATTATTATTGCACACCCTGTATTATAGTATTATTATTGCACACCCTGTATTATATTATTATTATTATTATTGCACACCCTGTATTATATTATTATTATTATTGCACACCCTGTATTATAGTATTATTATTGCACACCCTGTATTATATTATTATTATTATTATTATTATTGCACACCCTGTATTATATTATTATTATTATTATTGCAATGCCGGGTTAATGAAGCCATGCTCCCCTCTCTCTCTCTCTCTCTCTCTCTCCCCCCGGTTGGTGGTGATGATGGTGATGGTGGTGGTGGTGGTGGTTGGGGTGATCCCCCGGCCCCGGCACAGTCCCAGCCCCGGGTTTTGCCTGGATCCCCCGCCTGCCTGCAGGAAGGAACAATCGGCCTGGCAGCTGGAGCGGGGGGAGCCGGATCGCAGCCCCTGCCGGCCCCCGCCACACCGCCCTCCCCAGACCCCCGCCACCTCCGCCCGCCCGGCCCCCGCCACACCGCCCGGGCCCCGCTACCTGCTCCGCCACCCGCCGGCGGACACCGAACCCCCGCTCCGGCTCCGATCCGCTCCGGAAATCACGCACGACCGGAAACGGCGCTCACCGCGCGCACAGCCTGCCGGGAGATGTAGTTCTGAGAGGCTGAGGACTGGAGTCTGGCTGGGGATTATTAATAAGAGTCTATTCACTGGGCGGGGACCCCAATCTCCGCATTACAGCTCTCACTCAGACTGACACCATGCTGATAGACAGGGCAGGAAAGGTGCTGCCAGACCCACCACTGATAGACAGGGCAGGAAAGGTGCTGCCAGACCCACCATGCTGATAGACAGGGCAGGAAAGGTGCTGCCAGACCCACCATGCTGATAGACAGGGCAGGAAAGGTGCTGCCAGACCCACCATGCTGATAGACAGGGCAGGAAAGGTACTGCCAGACCCACCATGCTGATAGACAGGGCAGGAAAGGTACTGCCAGACCCACCATGCTGATAGACAGGGCAGAAAAGGTGCTGCCAGACCCACCATGCTGATAGACAGGGCAGGAAAGGTACTGCCAGACCCACCATGCTGATAGACAGGGCAGGAAAGGTACTGCCAGACCCACCATGCTGATAGACAGGGCAGGAAAGGTACTGCCAGACCCACCATGCTGATAGACAGGGCAGCCAGACCCAATGGATAGACAGGCTGCCAGACCCACCATGCTGATGATGCCAGATGCTGATAGGGCAGGAAAGGTGCTGCCAGACCCACCATGCTGATAGACAGGGCAGGAAAGGGTGCTGCCAGACCCACCATGCTGATAGACAGGGCAGGAAAGGTGCTGCCAGACCCACCATGCTGATAGACAGGGCAGGGAGCCAGGATAGACAGGGCAAGGGTGCTGCCAGACCCACCATGCTGATAGATAGGGCAGGAAAGGTGCTGCCAGACCCACCATGCTGATAGACAGGGCAGGAAAGGGTGCTGCCAGACCCACCATGCTGATAGACAGGGCAGGAAAGGTACTGCCAGACCCACCATGCTGATAGACAGGGCAGGAAAGGTACTGCCAGACCCACCATGCTGATAGACAGGGCAGGAAAGGTGCTGCCAGACCCACCATGCTGATAGACAGGGCAGGAAAGGTGCTGCCAGACCCACCATGCTGATAGACAGGGCAGGAAAGGTACTGCCAGACCCACCACTGATAGACAGGGCAGGAAAGGTGCTGCCATACCCACCATGCTGATAGACAGGGCAGGAAAGGTGCTGCCAGACCCACCATGCTGATAGACAGGGCAGGAAGGTGCTGCCAGACCCACCATGCTGATAGACAGGGCAGGAAAGGTGCTGCCAGACCCACCATGCTGATAGACAGGGCAGGAAAGGTTCTGCCAGACCCACCATGCTGATAGACAGGGCAGGAATGGTGCTGCCAGACCCACCATGCTGATAGACAGGGCAGGAAGGGTGCTGCCAGACCCACCATGCTGATAGACAGGGCAGGAAAGGTGCTGCCAGACCCACCATGCTGATAGACAGGGCAGGAAAGTGCTGCCAGACCCAACATGCTGATAGACAGGGCAGGAATGGTGCTGCCAGACCCACCATGCTGATAGACAGGGCAGGAAAAGTGCTGCCAGACCCACCATGCTGATAGACAGGGCAGGAAAGGTGCTGCCAGACCCACCATGCTGATAGACAGGGCAGGAAAGGTGCTGCCAGACCCACCATGCTGATAGACAGGGCAGGAAAGGTGCTGCCAGACCCACCATGCTGATAGACAGGGCAGGAAAGGTCCTGCCAGACCCACCATGCTGATAGACAGGGCAGGAAGGGTGCTGCCAGACCCACCATGCTGATAGACAGGGCAGGAAAGGTGCTGCCAGACCCACCATGCTGATAGACAGGGCAGGAAAGGTGCTGCCAGACCCACCACTGATGGAGAGGGCAGGAAGGGTGCTGCCAGACCCACCACTGATGGAGAGGGCAGGAAGGGTGCTGCCAGACCCACCACTGATGGAGAGGGAAGGAAAGGTGCTGCCAGACCCACCACTGATGGACAGGGAAGGAAAGGTGCTGCCAGACCCACCACTGATGGACAGGGCAGGAATGGTACTGCCAGACCCACCACTGATAGACAGGGCATGAAGGGTGCTGCCAGACCCACCACTGATGGAGAGGGCAGGAAAGGTGCTGCCAGACCCACCACTGATAGGACAGGAAAGGTGCTGCCAGACCCACCACTGATGGACAGGACAGGAAGGTTGCTGCCAGACCCACCACTGATGGACAGGGCAGGAAGGTTGCTGCCAGACCCACCACTGATGGACAGGGCAGGAAAGGTGGTGCCAGACCTACCACTGATGGACAGGGCAGGAAAATGCTGACATACCTACCTCAATGGGCAGGGTGTGAGGGACTGTCCCTTTTAGGGACACTTGGGAGGTATGACAGTGTGTGGTGCTCTGTTTTGCACTCCCCCCAGTGTAACTTTCCTGGACCCTGGTGGTCCATGTTCCAACCATGGAGATGACGTTAGCATGATTCAAATGCCACATCCTCAGTCTAATGCTTCCTCATTAGTCCAAGTAGCACAGAGAGAACGAGCTGCTCCAGACTCTCATCTAGCAATAATATGTTGAATGCATGGACGGTTCCTGTTAACTCAAGACACTATAACCACTTCAATAAGATAAAGCAGTTACAGTGCCTACAGAGTCCTTTTAAGGGTTAACTCAAATAAAAAAGCTGACAATAGGTATGCAAAATTTTATACCAAAATTGCAGAACAATTAAAGTAGAGTTGCATGATGGTTTTGTCACTAACAGCTAGCGACGTATAGTAAAAAGACAATCCAACGTATGGAACTAAGAATTAAAGGGACCATAATAACTTCAATGGAATGTAAGGAGGTTCTGGGCGTCAGCTTACATCAAGGGGTTAAACTAGTGCTTTCCAAATCAGGCCTCAAGGCATGCCTTCCAGACCAAGATTTAGGGATTACCCAGTTGTGTCTAAGGTGTTTTTAGAAAGGAAAGAGAAAACATCTTGATACAACTGGGTAATCCCTAAATCGTGGACTGGTAGGAGTGCCCTGAGGACTGGTTTGGAAACTATTAACAAATGGATTAACCCCAAATTCTTTAGTCTGGAGCATGTCAGCACTACTATCTTCTTCTGAGGTTTCAAACAGGGACTAATGAAAGTGATGCTCTCATCCTTTCTGTAGCAACTCATTACCCATTCATTAAAAATGCGTTAAAACCATTCTCTAATAGTTTAACCCCTTGAGGTATGCTGGCACCAAAGACCTTCTTGCACCACAAAGACATTTGCGATGAAGATATTTTGCAAACTTAAAACTGTCACTTTCATTCATTAATATATCACTATTATTGAGAGGTATGTTAGTGGGAGAAGGAAGATGAAGGACAGTGGTACGGTACACTTCACTGGCCACGCAGTGCAGACAGGCCCTCCGTAAATGGGATGTATGTTAGCTTGGCGTTCATGTGTGCCAGGCTGACTGGCAGTCATGCTGGACAGCCTCCCCCAGATATGTTCATGGGCATAACGCTGCTGACAAAGTCTGTATTGGCAAAAAAGTCAAAAGGTTTTTTGGAACAGCGCAATCTGTGCA